TATGTGTGCCTAAAAAGGGGGGAGTAGTTAATCATTCATTTTTGGAACAAATGATTCCAGGACCATGAAGAAGCAGAACATGAGTAGAGTATGAGATCTTACCTAGGAAAGTAGTGACAGCAAAGACGATGGCTGAGGCAATGGCATGGACACAGAGAGCAGCTGCAGGCTCTAGGCCCCAGGACTGAATAAAGCTGTGTGTCTGCAGGCAAGAGGCTGGCTTGCAGAATATGTCCTTAGGATATTTAAATGAATATGTATCTTTTTGTTTTGTATGTGTACATCTAACATTTTTGCTTTGCTCATTTGTGAAATGTAAAAAGGAAACCACAGGAAAGAAGTAGGATAACTGCTGTTGCAGGGAGGGGATTATAATCATTAAAACAAAGCATATACTTTATTTAATGTAAAGCTGATGACCTTGTCTTTTAACCTTCACTCAATACACAATAAAGTTAAAAAAAAAAAAAAAAAGGAAAGGAAACATTTTTAGACATGAGTGAAAATTTAAATGGAAAGTGTATTAGAAGTTATTGATGCTTCAGACCAGAAAACATTGCAAGGATTATGATACTCAGTTGGTAAGAGTACTATGAAATGGGTACTCTTATATCCTACTGATGGAATTGTTAAAATGTAAAATGTATATATTTTGCCTCAGTAATTTCACTTCTAGACATTCAGCTTGAAAAAAACCCCCTCAAATATGTCATGTAAAGAAAGCACAGCAAAAACAGACATTAATTGAGAAGTGTTTGAATAGAAAAAACAATATTCATGCTATATATTATAACCAAAAAATGAATAGTTGTATGAGGGAGACTTCAAAAAGATTGTCGGAAAATTCCATTATCTTTTAATTTAATTTTCCCACAAATTTTAAAGCTCTCTTATATACATACAAACACACACATGTGTGTTGTGTATAGACATATCATGCTATCAAAACATATGGTAAAGGGGGAAAAAAAACTTTTAAAATGCATGGAATAGGACTTCTAGCAAGATGGCAGACTAGGCAGACACACCACACAGACCCTCTGCAACAAAGACACCAGAGATCAAATGAAATAGACACATATGAAAATTCTGGAACCCTAACCTTCAGAGGAAAGACTCCAGAAGTGGACTAAGTGTTTGCTAGGAGGAAAAGCTGAGCAGAGACAGGAAGAGAGGGAGACTGACTGGTGAACAGCTGATCAGACATGGCACAACCATCTTGAACCTTTGATAGCAGCTTTGGACAACAGAAGGTGATGTGACAGAAGAGTCACACGTGACTGGAAAGGGGTGATTTCTTTTTTCTCATGCTCCCCTGGTTATCAGAGGTGTGGCAAGTTTCCATCCTTACCCACACCCCGCACAAACCCTGCTCGCCAGGAGTTATGAGCCACATGGTTGGGAGCCATACCAGTGTAAGACAGGGGTCGGCTGTACCATTTTGATGTGCCATTTCAGTGTCTGAATTCAGGTGGGCTCAGATCCAAACCTACAGAAACTCTAGAGCCACCAGACCAGCATAAGCAGTCACCCTGCCCCCAGCGGCCCTGTGACCCTAACAGACACTGAAAGCAAGGCTCAAGGGCCTCCAAGAACTACTGATTCAGAGAAGAAATGTAGAAGAGTGGCTGGTAGCTTAGTGTGGAGCTGAAGAAAGTATTTGAAATCATCTAATTTTCCAGATGCTGACATGAAATGGAGTCAATGCAATATTATATTGTATTATCACCAATAAAAAACAATTCAAAATTGAAAGGACTATTAGGACATTGATGGACTTAGGCATATGGAAAGAAAAAAATATGTGTATAAAGCGATTTCCATGAGAAAGCCAAGAAACTTATACTGGTTTGACAGTGGTCAGTTACATGCCCGCACAGTTTCAATGTGCTTGTTCACCCTATCCACTCTGTTCCCCAGCCCTCTCTACTGGTTGCTGGTTTAAAGTTTGCCCTTCCCCAAATTTGAATTTTATTACAACTCTAAAATACTTTCAATTTTATATGGATAAAGTCAGTATTTGATTATTAAAGAATGAAAAAGAACTACTTCCCGATTGAGTGCCCTTAACATAGATAACATTGAGGCGGATAGGAACTGCATCTGGTGCCAGGATCTCTGCTGTCAAATCCTTCTCACATTCACCACCATTAGCTCCAAGAGTTTTCTTCTCTCAGATCCAACATTTGCACTGTTTGTTTTTGAATTTGGGTTTGTTTTTTTCCTTTTGTTATTTCATTGTTTTTGTCTGCTTATTCTTTATTAGGAGTCCTGGTGTGTTTGCTGTGGGCTAATGCGCCAGACTGCAAAGCCGTTTGAACTACAAGGTCAGTGGTCCAAGTTCACCAGTCGATCCTTGGAAACCCTAAATATATAAGGTCACTCACTATGGGTCAGAACCAACTAGATGGCACTTAACAACAACAACATTCTTTATTGGTCAATCACAAAAGGACACATACGGTATGAGAACCATGTTGTAAAAAGTTAAGAAAAGGTTTTCTTGATAAAAGAAACAATCTATGATAGTTACAGGGAAAAGATGGGAGGGAAAATAAATCACAGGCTAGAAGGCAAACACATGTTAACATGAGTGATGGAGCAGGCAATATACTAGAGAGAGAGGCTAACTGAGGAAATATGAAGGTAGGAGACACAGAGGGAATGCAAGAGTTAAAGGAAATGGAGGTAAATATTTTCAACTGTTGGTACATGGATTGCAGTCAATGTAATAAAGCAAAGCATATGATTTTTTTTAATGTAACACTAATGATCTGCTCTATAAACTTTCACTCAATTCGCAATAAAAAGTTTTTTAAAAATTGTGAAAGAAATTAGGAAAATTTGAACTCTGACTGGATAGTTGATTAAATGACTAATTTTATTCTTTAGGAATGATGATGGGAATACGGTTATGCTTTCGTTGTTTTCACTTTGTTTTATATACATTCCTTAATTCAATTTAAAATATCTTTGCCCAATTATCCCACCCCCCAAAATTACATGCAATAAAACCCAATCATAATCTGATCCAAAGGACACAAATCAAACAGAAAACTGCTAGTTTTGAGGAAAGAGAATGATTTTTTTGTGGAAATTAATAGGAAATTTTGTGTTAACAATTGTTTACCAAATGTTTTACAATGAAAATATGCATACAGTATTATAAATAAATTTCAAAATACTGTATTCTTAGAATACTAAGCATGCCAAGTATTAGAGTATCATAGAGCATCAAGACATTCTTTTGAATATTCTTTTTCACCACTACTAAGCGGTTCAGAATGGAGATCAAAGAAAATTTTTAATTGCTTCACTAGTAAATTCTGCTTTGTCTGAGATGAAATGTAATGGAGATAGGATTTACTGTTTGCAGAAAATTTGGTTATTTATCTTTTAATCTATAAGTAATTCAATCTGGAGAATGCCTTAAAATCTTCTCTCCAACATAGATTGTCATTTAAAAACAAAGTGACTTATGGATTTTTTTTTTTAGTTGCCAAGTTTACCTTCAAATAAAGAAAAGTGCAATTAGAAACTCTTACATAACAAGATGACACTTACCAACAACATAACAAAATCCATTGTGAAATAATTACTAAAGCACCTAAATGCTTGCTGGTCTCTTGCCAATTATTAGCTTTCTCTAAGTGTATAATAATAATCTGACAAACCTTTGTCCCAGGATCCCAATAGATCACCCTCTAAAAACCTGTGTAGTAAAGAATTGAGCTAGCCTTTTCTTTAGAATTGGGCTAATTAGACAATCTTGAAACCCTTGGAATTCCCCAAGTGATTTGAATATATGTTATTCTCAGTGAGCCGCTCAGGCCACACCTGACAATACATAAGGGGCCCTTTGAGTCGTTTCTTCTAATCAGATGACTCAGAATGGGTGCTGGCCAGGCCAGAAAGACTAACCACGTGGTTACAGAGTTGGAGCTTTAAGCTCAGCCAAAACTCCAGAGAGAAGAGCAGGGTAGAGACTGAGCTCAATCACATGGACTACGATTCAGTCAAGCATGCCTGTGTAATAAAGTCTCAATAAAAATTCTGAACACCAAGGCTCAAGTACAGTTTCCTGGTTATGATACCTACATACTGTCACATATCCATGTGCTGGTGATTTGTCCCTGAGAACAAAGGAAGCTTTGTCTTTAGGACCCTCTCAGACCTTGCCCTGTGTGTGTCTCCCTTTAGTTGGTTCTGATTTGCATCATTTTGTTATAATAAAACTGCAAGTGTAAGTATAACACTTTCCTGAAACCTGTTAGATGTTGTGGCAAATTATCAAATCTGTGAGGTAACAGAAACCCCAACCGGTCAGAGTGAGGATGGCCTGGGCTCTCCTGAGTTCCTGCTGATGTCTAAATTGAAGGAAACTATGGAAAAGACTATGTCCTTGGGAGTGATTAACTTTTCACTCTAGGAGTGGAGGTCCCTGGGACCATGAAGGGAGAAGAGCAGAGACAGGACCCTTCCCAGAGAAGCAGTGATGCCTGAGATGGAGGCAGAGACGATGGCGTGGAGAGATGGAGCAGTTGGGGATTTTAGACCCAGAGAGGGAGAGGGGCTGTGTGTTGACGACCAGGGGGCAGACTTGTAGTGTATACCTTTTGGTTGGTTGATGATGCATGGAGGGGATTGTAATCATGGCAATGAAACAATATATGATAGGATAAATGTAAAACTAATGTTCTCCCATGTAAACTATCACGTAGTTCATAATAAAACATTAAAGAAAAGAAAAAAAACAAACAAAAGACTATGTCCTTAACCTGTGATGTTTGGATAATTGGCCTAACTCTGGGTAATTGATTCAGAGGTCCTTGTACCTTGGCCAAAAGTAACTTCTTCCATTTTCCCATAAATATATCAAAGTATATATAGGATAAAATAATCTCTTGAATGTAGTTTTTAAACTTTTATTTTCTAGGAATAATAATAATAAAAAAAAGAATAAATTCATAGTTACCACCATCTATACTGAAATCACATACTTACTTTTTTTTTAATTAGGCTTGGTAACTTTTCATTAGTATTAGCTGCAGGGTATAATGATTCATCAATGTGTGCTCCAGCTGTCCTGCATCTGTGTAATTAAATTACAGTAGTTTAATGAGTATTTGTTTTTGTTATATTCATGCAATAAATAATTATATCTAACAGCATTTAAGAAATACAAGTGCATTTTAATAGACAAATAGATGAAAATAGGGAGTCCTGGTGTAGCACTGTAGGACAAGCACTGGACTGTTAACCTCAAGGTCAATGGTTCAAACCTATCAACCACTTCTCAGAAACCTTATACATTGTCACTATGAGTCAGAACTGATTCAATGGCACTTAATAACAACAACATAAGATTATCAAATACCAAACTTTCCAAACTCTTCTATATGAGTAGAAGTGACAGGCAAGTAAAAGTGGTATAATTTTTAATCAACAATTGTAGGCTTGTAACATAATTCAAAACTACTAGTTCACAGCACTCATAAAGGTATGTGCTATTCAAGGAATAATTTAAAAATACACATTTAAAAAATGGATCACTTAGAGAGTACAGTCAATCCCTGTGTTATGAACAAGATCTGTTCATACATGTGTCTTTAAGTTGAATTTGTGGATCAGTTAGAACCGGTGCATGTAATTCTTATTTAACCCTACTTTATATTAGAAAGGAGCTCTAGCGGCATGGTGTGTCAGGCATTGGACTGTTAACCACAAAGCTAGTAGTTCAAACCCACTAGCTGCTCTGAGAAAAATGAGGCAATTTGTACCAGTAAAGATTTCCAGTCTGTAGAAGGTCACTATGAGTTGGAACTGACTACATGGCAGTGAGTGTTTGGTGAGTTGGTTTAGTGCTAGAAAAGAGTCAAAGACCTTGCAATAACTTAAATGATCATGTGGAACAAGTGAAGGTGCTTGTGATAAAGGGAAGAACATGCTCAGCATTTCTCAAGCTTAAAGAACTGAAGAAAAAATTCACACTTGAGAGAATATAGAGTCACTGTACCAACAAGAAATTGCAAAATTCAGCATTTCAAGAGGCAGCATATGATCAAGAATCAATGGTACTGAAGTAAGAAGTCTAAGGTGCACCGAAGGCATTGGCAAAGAACAAACCTATGGGAATTGATGGAATACAAATAGAAATTTTTCAGCAAACTGATGCTGAACGGGAGGCACTCACTCATCTATACCAAAAATTTAGAAGACAGCCATCTGACCAACTGACTGGAAGAGATCCATATCTGCCCGTTTGAAAAAGAAGGTGACCCAATGTAATGCAGAAATCACTGAACAATATAATAATCATGTGCAAGCAAAATTTTGCCTATGACAAAATTTCCAAGAACAGCCCAATGCCCAATGTTTCCAGAAGGCATCCATGGTTTAATAACCATCACTGAGCACCACCTATTGGCAGGAATTCTAACAGAAATTTCTCTCCTTGCAAAACACCCATTTTAGCAGTCAAAATGTCAAATGACACATGGAGACTACTACAGGCCCTGAGGACAACTTATCAAGCAGTAATCTCTTATCCATCTTCTAGTCCCCAATCCGTATACTGTCATAACTCATGCTCCCACCAATCCTAAATGTATTTCAGTGTTCAATCTCAAAGGTGCTTGCTTTTATATCCCACTTCATCCTGAGTCCCAATATATCTGTACTGAAAGAGGTCTAAAGAGATCAGGATCAAGAGAGTGAAAAGCGAGCTGCTTGTATCCAGAGTGAAACAAACCTACAGAACAACCTAAAGCCAGGCCAGCCTCAAGGGAAGCCTCCCAAGCACACCTGTGAGCCAGCACAGGCACTGAGGCTCCTATTCAAAAAGAAGGGAAGTACAGGACTCCTTCCTGGGTTCTCACTCTGGGTGTTGGAAATTTCTCATTCCCTCATTTGGGAAGCATCTGTTTTGTCCTTGCTGTATAAATGAAAATTTTTCCCTTGTACTGCTAGCCCTCCCTAGCTCTTTTACTAGTAGACCACCCTACACTAGCAATCTAAACTTGCTAGCAACACCTGGACTCATTGGAAAGCATTATCTCCTTTCCTTGACCTGGCTTTTACCTTTTCTTGGCCCCCACACTGGAATATTACTTCTACTAATCCTAATCCTGGGGCCTTGTGTTTTTAAACTATTGCTGTCTAACATAGCCAAACAAGTTGATATTTGCCATAAACAAATGCTACCAACTTTATATCCCAATTGTTGCTGGTGTTATGTGCGGTTCTGAGTCATAGCGATTCTTTATAGGGTTTCTAAGGAGCGGTTGATGGGTTTGAAGTGCCGACTTTGTGGTTCAAACTGACCTTGCAATCTATTCCGCAGGGCTGTACCAGGACCCAATAACCTATCCCAACAACCACCTGGACCAAGCTGGTCAAGCACTTAGAGCACACAAAAAAATATTAAACTATTCTATGTGTTCCTCAGACTCAGGACTACACAAGGAATGAGAGTTGATGATGAAAACCAGTAATCACAGGATAGGAAAGACACTAACCCCAGTTACTATGTACCAAACCAGCAGGAAGTAGTCAAGGATGAGTTGTCCATACCCCTAAAGCATTATGGTTTCCTGCAGAGTCTTGGTGCAGTGCTGTGGGTTAATGCGTTGGACTGCAAAGTTGATTTGAACAGCAAGGTTGGCAGTTTAAGCTCACCAGTCGCTCCTCAGAATGGTCACTATGGGTCAGAATCTTAACAACAACAACAACATTCTCTCAAGAGAATGCCAGCTAGTTAGAACAGGGAAAACAAGAGGGTTTCAAGTCACCCTCTATATTGGCGGTCTCAGAAGAAACAGGCCAATCTCAGCAAATAAGGAAGTTCTGAGAAGACTTCAACAGCACTTAACAACAAGATGTTATTTGTCCTTTTCATTTTTCATTCTTTCATGAGAATACAATGGAGATTTACAAAAACTAAGTGGTGGCACATGCTATCACAAG